AAAAATAAATAAATAAATAAATAAAATAAAAAAATAAATAAAAAATATATTTCAAATATATTTATATTTATATATATTTTTTATTTTTTTTTCAGTCATTTAACTTAGCCTTTTCTTTTACTTATTTTTGTACCTGAACTACAAAATTGTTTTTCCACATCCAAATGTCGGTTTCTTTAGAGAATCGATGTGATTTCGTCGGTCAGCGGTGGAGTGAATTCTCGTTCGTGTATGAAAAGAGCGGGAAATAAGAGAGCAGAAAGCAGGCGCGCTGCCTGATCGCGAAGACTCTGATCGTGAAACTTGGAGTTTCCGGCCATCATTCGTGATGACCCGAAAAAAAGAGCAAATGACTTTGATCTTTTTTTTGGGGGGGGGGGGGGTGAAGAGGTGAGATGGAAAACTGTGCGTACCTACGGAAAAATCCTGGCTACGCCCCTGATAGGTAACGTACAGGGCATAGGTAACGTACAGGGCATAGGTAACGTACAGGGCATAGGTAACGCACAGGGCATAGGTAACGTACAGGGCATAGGTAACTTACAGGGCATAGGTAACGTACACGGCATAGGTAAGGTACATCGCATAGGAACCTACACGGCATAGGTAACGTACACGGCATAGGTAACGTACAGGGCATAGGTAACGCACAGGGCATAGGTAACGTACAGGGCATAGGTAACTTACAGGGTATAGGTAACGTACACGGCATAGGTAAGGTACATCGCATAGGAACCTACACGGCATAGGTAACGTACACGGCATAGGTAACGTATATGGCATAGGCAACATACATGGTGGCTTTGGGTTCCTAAATAATAAGATTTAGTTGCTTTTTTTAGTTGCTTTATTGGTTATTATGTAAGATCCACTGTTTCTCTCATTTTACTACGCATACACATCCTCTCTGAAACGTACTACTTTAAGGGCTAGCACCCTTCTTTTCCTTTGTAGCTTATCAGTACGTAAAGAAAAAACTAGACATTTGCGAACCTCCTTTCTATTTTTGGACGTAAGATTATTTAACTTGCGAATGAAAGCCTAGAGCCTTAAGCATTTCGCCTGCTGTAACGAAGCATTAATTACTTCTTTATCAATTTCCGTCTTATTCAACTGAAGCTGACGGAAAGAGATTCTCAAAGAGTCCCTAGCCGTTATCCTTTTTTTTTGCAACTGAACCGCTAAAATAAAAGGAATGAGTGATTAGCTTCTAATCTAAATGTTGTCCTGCAAAGGTAGGCTCTGTGACAGATCAGTCACGGATCCACGAGCAGCTCCGTGACCGGGCAACCAACTGCTCATTTCAACCAATAGGCCATTTTACAGTTGTTTACTTAGTTGCCAAGCCTTTGATTCAGAGTGAGGCTGAAGGTGACCTTGTTGCAATAGAGACCTGTATCTACTTAGCATGATAGCAAAGTGATTTACATTTGAAAGGCAGCAAGGTTTGTATCATAACAAGGTCACCCCTAGCCTCACTCCCATTCAAAGGCTTGGCAACCAAGCACACAACTGTAAAATGGACTATTTCTGAAATCACGGGACAAATTCATACTCTGGGAAGGAGAGTGCTTGTAGTCCATAGCTAACAAAGAGTTAGTACTGATAGCAGGCCGATAAAAAAGTGAGGAGATTCCTCTCCTTAATATACTGCCACTGTTTTCTAAATAAGAACAAGAACAAGCTAGGGTTGGACGCGCTCAAATAGAAGCTATACCAAGAGGACTAAAACAACGAAATTTACGCAAATGATAATTTCAAGATCTACCCTTAGAAGTTGAGTTTCCTGATGTGATAACTTTTTTAAAATTTTAATTGGCAAATAAAGATAATTGCATTCCTTAATAATATAATGACTGAAACGGTATCCGGTCTTTTCGTCCAAGATTCTTTTCGTCTAAGTCTTTTCGTCTAAAGTCTTAGGTCCGTTTGTCCCAATATCAAGTATTTTCGTCAAATTTATAACATTGTTTTAAATGAAGTAGTAACGCGATATATTTTATTAAATAGTAGGTGACAAAAATAAAGACTTGCCGTTTAATTATTTCGCGCGAAAGAAATGGAAATGTTAGGCTTGCTGTTAAACGTCTATTAGGTGTAGTAGACAACTAAGTGTAACATCACTAAGTGTCCGACATAACCAACAACATAACCCAACATGATAAATAAAAAAAGAACGAAGCCAAAACTGAACCCAAATAAGCATCTTCTCTGTGTATTTATCGTAATTCACGACGTTGAATTCGTAAACGAGGATTTAGAGACTAAAGCTATCGGAACCAAAATGGCAACGGCTCGCACTTATAAGTTCTTTATATTTAGCCTTATCTAACCTTCTAAAGGTTATTTATTTGCTTCGAGAAAAGACTTAACAATTAGACGAACAGACTTAAAAAAGATGAAAAAACTTCACTGAGGGACGAAAAGACTTCGACGAAAAGACTTTTGGACGAAAAAAATCGTAATTCACTGCAATTTGTGCTTTTAAAACTATATTTTTTCCATTTTCTGTTCTAGTAGCAGGACATTAACCAGGAAATAAACCTGGTTTATCACTCAAATTCTCTAACCTTCAAGCTAACCTTCCAGCTAAACTGCGAGTAGATACGTGGCGGGTGATTCGTGAACTTTTCGAGTTACGAATACGGAGAATATAATCTCATTTTTAATTCACTGGATCGTTTCCATTTTGTTGAATAAAGTTCTTTCTGGGGGGGTCGGAGGGACATCTTAATCGTAGGGTTCTTTTTTGTTGAATTCACTTCGGCAATGTGAGGACCATCCGTGAAATCCGCGGAAAGTAAAACCCCAAAAATTACTTATGCAGCCTGGTAGACTTTAGTCGGAGCCCACAGAAAAGGAGTCTGGCAACGAGTATGGGATAAACAATGTTGTTACTATAGCAACACGGCAAAAGAGCCGTTTTATGCATGGGGTCATGTCAAGAAAATTTGCAAGACTTCGTCATGGCGGAAAGGTTGGGGTCTGTAAAGAAGACTGCTCATATTCCTCACTGTTTTTGATATTGCTCATAACTTTTGCTTCAAGCTTGGTAGCGTCGCAAAGTGGATAAGGAATTTTCCAACAAGTGATCACTTGAAGGGCTGTTCAGAGAGTGGATCTTCCATTACTACTTCGATTAATTTTTTTTATGGTACATTTGTAAACCTTTGGTTTGATCAGGAGGAAAACAAGTTCCAAGGAAAGTAGCACCTGTGAAAAATAAAAAGCTTCGGTATTGCTATTTGGATGTGGATTGCCTTAGAAAGTGAAGGTTACTGAGCTTGGCGTTTACTTATTACTACCAAAGGAGGTCGTTGCAGGAGAAATCGACTGCACATCCCTCGCATTGTTTTGCATTGTTTGATGCTTTACGTTGCAGCTGTGGGGCTACGTTATAGTTTTGAATTTCAAGGGGAATATGGATCAGTTGGAGTGTGGAAAAATAAACGTTTAAAGTACCAAGGATTATAGGTCGGCCTGTAAAAGCCTGATTTAGACAAGTTATCGAGAGAAGGCTTCTTACAATTTTGTTTCATTTATCGAACTCTAGGCTCCCAGCGGTAGTAAGCCTGTTTCATTATCACTCGCCTTGTCCTCCGAAGACATATTTAGAATGCTCATTTTCTTCTCTACACTTGCTCACTTTTGCTAAGATATTTAACTGAAAATCCAGTCGATCTTGAATGGAAATAACTTGATTTTACTCGATGGAAAAGTACGAGAATCTTGGCTTGGTGGGGGAAGGATCGTACGGCATGGTGATGAAATGCAGACACAAAGAATCCAACCAACTTGTGGCTATCAAGAAATTTATTGAATCTGAGGATGATAAAATGGTGAAGAAAATAGCTTTGAGAGAAGTAAGAATGCTGAAGGTAAGTTGTGGCCTTTTGTTTGCTTTGTTTGCACGTTTACGGTGTAATGAGACACCGTGTGACATTTGTTTGAATGTTTGCATGTATATTTGGGTTTGTAATTTACTGTTGGTTGCAATGATTCGTACTTTCAATTGTTCGCCGTATTTAGCGCCAAAATTTATCTCATTCACTTTTATTTTAAACTGATATTCAGCAGAAACTTATGAAAAGGATCGTCGTTATTTTCCTCAACTGACAATGTTGGTTGCAAATTTCAAAAATTATGATGATACAAGACAACTGTATAGTTTTTACCTAACTTGAATATTTATACAGAAAATTCTAGCCAAAATTACGGGGATGGTATTAGAAAACTAGCGGTGATGCTGCTTTCGTGATCCGTTCAATAGATATTTGGCGTCTTGAACTAAAATTTCTTTAATCTGTAAATTAACACATTTCTCCCGTGGCTTTCTAAACGGAATAGTAAATAAAGTAACATCTCTTGTAAAACACTTCCGATTAATTTCCATTTCCTCTCTTCTTATTAAGAATGTGGCCAATTTAACTCAGCAGATATCGTTCTCTTTATTCTTGATACTTATATTCCACGTTTAGTTTGCTGTTCTTATACTTTTTAATACACTTCAATACACTTGATCTGTGTTAAGGACAGTTTAATTTGTTGTGCAGTACAAACACCTCAAGATATATTCATGGCAAGTCATAAAGAAGGTGGTAATTGTACACCCTAGCTCTATTTAGTCAATGTGCACTTTTTGTTTTGGCATTTTATTTAATTTTCTCTTTTTCTTTAGTATTTGCAATAACATTTGAAAAAACTTATCTTATTTTAATATACTCAAAATATTATCTCATTCCTAATTGGTCAGTGACAAATATTTATTCTTTGTTTACCTGCTGGTAAACAATGGTCAATGGTTAATAATTTATTTAAAGAAATACGCACATATTTTTTTAATTTTAGGAAAGCTTATTAAAAAATTTAGACATTAAACATTCAAAGATGCTGCAGAAAACGGTTTTCGAGAATAATACCAGTGAACTAAAAATTACACAAATACTCCATGTGCATTTTGCTTCTTATGGTTTGTCATGCAGGGTTTCATGGAAGCACACTTATAAGGATTGCAAATATGATAACTTTCAAGATAACAAGTACATAAATTTACCAATTTATATTTAACAATTATTCGCCGAAGGCGAGGTGAATATCGTCAAATAATCCCCGAGACAAAGTCAAGGGGATTATTTGAGAATACTCACCGAACCTGAGGCGAATAATTGTTTTAGTATAATTTCAGAGCTGAACAACAGAGAAATCTCTAAAATCATAACATTTTAGTAACATTTATTAACATTTTAGTTTAACATTTCATATAAACCGCGCGGAGCAGTTTATATAGCGTCATATAAGGAACCGCTTGACCTATCAGATTGCTGGAAACTCTTTGCTCAGCTCTGAAATTATACTAATTGTTGATAATTCATATTTTCCCCTCAAAATGTGTTTTTCTGAAAGTTACCCTCACATTAATGCTACAATTTTCTTTAGCATTCCTGCAGTGCAATTTATCCAAAAAATCACCCACCAATCCTTTTATCAGCCATATGTTGACACTAATTGTAAATTTATACAGATTTTAGAACCATTTTATCATACAATTTTTTATGAAATAGAATCCTAAGATAAAGTTAACAGAATGATTTATGTATTAGAGAAAGATGTTTTTTGTCTTGTCATGGGCATGGGACAAAGAAAAAAGCAAGACTCCACTTGAGGGATCATTGACATGATAACCCTGTTTTTTTTCTTTGTTCATGATGCTCATGACAAGACGAAACACATCTTTCTCTATTTCTTTACTGAGCTCAAGACTCAACATCTTTCCTATTCTATTTACTAAATTTGCGTAATGCTTTAGTGGTATGAACTGTGTGATAACACTGTTGCCAGGTCTATCCCTTTGTATGTCAGTTTTCAAACTCAAAAGGAAATTTTAAATCTCAATTGGTACAGACCATCATTGAGTTTTTGATCAATGCCATTAATGTTAAAAGGATCTGTTAGCTTTACTCGGTGTCATTTTAAGATTGATGTATATTGATCATAGTTGTATCTTTCTATTTTTAGCCTTGAAATGAGGATCCTCATTTTCCTTTTTGCATCTCCAAAGCATGCATTTTATGTTTGGATTTTAAATTGAAATTGTTGGCAATGTTAAAGAATTTAAGTCAAGGTTAAAGTCCCTATTCACCCCCAGAGGTTTCTATGTATTTCCATTCTTTGCATTATCAGGATTAATCTCAAAATAATTTTTTTGATTGATTAAATATTCCCTGAGATATGTCGCCTCAAAGTTTGTCCTTCGGCCACGCCCTTTTGATTTGGCTGGGCAAAGTTAATACTGGTAACTAAAAGTTGCTCATGACATCACAGCCAGAATGTCTTTCGATCGATGTGCCCACATTCACTTGACTACGCAAAGCTTTTTTTGTTTTTCTTTTTCTTGACTAGACGAATTTGTTGTATTTGAGCAACCAGCGACCACGCAACGAGTCAGCATTTTCACATCATTTTACAGCAATAGACACATGTTCAAGAAGTCTTTCTGTGACTTCACTGAATGTTGGAAAGGTAGTAGGTCTGAGACTCAGCCCAGTAATTCTCTCCTGGCCAAGTAAAAAGGGTGTGGCCAAAAGAGTAACTTTGAGGTGGCATACCTCAGGAAATATTTAATCAATCGCAAAAATTTTTTTTGGAGATTAATCCTGATAACACTAAGAATCGAAATATATGTAAACCTCTGGAGGTGAATAGGGACTTTCAGTGCATTTTGAATTTTTAAATATCTTGTTTTTCCTTTTCAGCAACTACGACATGATAACCTTGTTAATTTATTGGAAGTTTTTCGTCGCAAGAAGCGACTCTTCCTTGTGTTTGAGTTTGTGGATCATACAGTTCTTGATGAACTTGAAAGATATCCTAATGGTTTAGAAGAGAATAATGTGAGGAAAGTACTATGGCAAGTGTTGAGGGCCATTGAGTTCTGCCATCTTCATAATGTAAGTTGGTTCAGCAGAAAAAAAAGTGTTAAAGATAACAATCATAATAAGGTGACACCTTGTAATCACACTTTGTCTTTTCATTACTGCATCATGACATTCCTGTATTAAACTCATTGCTCTTTCCATGGTAACTCAATAGGCCATTTTACAGTTGTGTACTTAGTTGCCAGCCTTTGATTCAGAGTGAGGCTGAAGGTGACCTTGTTGTGATAGAGACCTGTACCTAGTTAGCATGATAACAAAGTGATTTACATTTGAAAGGTAGCAAGGTTTGTATCATAACAAGGTCACCCCTAGCCTCACTCCTGTTCAAAGGCTTCGCAACGAAGCACACAACTGTAAAATTGACTATTGTCAGCAGGGGCCAGCTGATTATGCCCTCTTTTCACGCCTTTGACTCCAAACATGGTCGTAGTGACAGGATAATCTGGAATTTTGGAACACCTGTATTGGGATATATTGATGAGATGCAATGTGAACAAAAAAAAATGATTCAAAGTGTTTTTGTTAAATGATACAGGATTCAAAATTGGGAAGAATATGCTCAAGC